CCAGAGCGCTGTTGCTCAGCGGCAGCTCAGTGTTGTCCTCCGGGGTTAATGAGGGGATTGCGGTGCGCTACATTCGGCACTTGGAAATCCCTTTGAATCTACGCACCATAGTTTCTTTGTGGGTCTGCGAAGATACGGTGCCGTTGTGCGAAACCTATCAGAGGATCGTATTTGCCCTCCAGAAAGGCATCTTACTAATGTTGATTTTTTTCTAATTTCAAGCGTGATATACTTCTTTGCTGGAAGGCAAAACTAGCTACAGTCTCGCAGGCTGGTTACGTTGTTGGTGTTCGAGAGGGCTCGGTCTGGCGTAGCACCAGCCGGTTCTTCACCAATTGCGGAAGCTGACAATCGACCACTATTGGTGGAGTGTTGGCTGGCGGCGCGCTAAACCCAGTCCCCCCGAATGCCGCTGCGTCGGCAGCTGAATAGGCTATAACAGTTGATAGGAAGAGTCGCTCTCCTGCTCAACGGTAAAATTAAGCGAAAATTCGTAAGGCGTAGCTAGCTTGTGAAAGCGGGGCTCACCGCAGGAGAAATTCAGTAGTGACATAGTGACACCGCCGTTTCACCCATCTCGAATTTGTGCCCTGCTTCGGGAAATCTGCAAGGACTCGATACATATCGATTGACTCCGCCCGAGGGAGTTAGAGAAGCAGAGATCAATAGGTATCTAATATTCCCCGCAGATTTCCCACTTCCTCAGTTCTCCGCTGGGCAGGAAAAAAAATCGATGCGCATGCCTTCTTTTTCGCGAACTCTCTGAAGGTGTGAATGCGAATTTGATCAGTTACCATTATGATCCACTGCTCTACTGTGCAAACGAAAACCTCGCTGCCTAATCTTCATTGATTTTCTGAATTTTGATTCAGCGTACTCCAGAGTAGAGCTTGATGCAGGTTTGGAAAACTGCAACTTTTCTTTTTTTGTAGGTTTGAGGCATTTTGGTTTGTCGACGCAGATGACAGATAGTGATAAAAAAGAAGAGAAGTCTTCTTGCACTACGCCAACATCGTCTCGAAGATCTGCATGGTCGAGAAGTAACGTAGAAGGAAAGGTAGGTTACACTTTCACTGTCCTTTGAATTGAGAACAGTTGGAGTTGAAGTTGTGATTGTTTCGATTTTGAAGATTTTTTCATAGAATGTAATGAACATTCTTTCGTAACGGTATTCATTGATACTTAATGAATGTTAAGGTAAAGTGATGAACTCGTTTAATTGCACTCCATATCCCGGATATGGGGAGGGCGTGACTGCGCCTTTTTGATAATGTTGTAGGATGCGTTTTCGACGCTTCCATTTGACTCAGTTGTCCGGGGTACAGCATCGTTGTGTGAATCACATGGGGTCGCACTTTTCCGCTGGAGAGGGTGGTGTAGTTGGTCGTGATTGGGAGAGAGGGGGTTGTATGTAGCTCTGAAAGAAATTTGCCGCGTTGGGAAAAAGTTTTTCCGGTTGTCCGGTTGTTGATTTTTCGTGATTTTTTTTCTTGTTTCATGTGTACTATATACCCCCTTTTCCCCTCCTCTCCCTTCCCCCGCTGTTCAAATTAAAGGATAAAAGGATAAAGTCTTCGCCGTTAATCAATCCCTTTGTGGGATGCGGCACGCATTCTACTTCCATTCAGAATCGTAGTGGCTTATTGAATGCGATGTGGCCTATACAATGACTTGCGGGGGCCAGCCGATGTACAAGTCAGTGTTTTATCCTCCCAGACGAGCCCGCAATTT